TACGAGGCCCAACTCCGCCGCCCACTCCTCTAGAACCGGGTCCCTCCAACACGACACCCTGTCACCCCAGGTGGGACACCTCGCATTAAGGTCTCCCATGAGGATAAGGGGCCGCGGAAGAGCCCCCCGTATGGCCAGGCCCATGGCATCAAGGAAACCCTCGAAATGGCTCAGACGCTCATTGGGGGAAAAATACGCTCCGACGAACGTCCATTCCCCCCAATCAGCCAGAACTAACCCAGAACCTCTCTCTCTTAGAAAGAGAGGAGGTCCATGCGGCCGAGCAATCACAGCCGCATCACCTCGAAGGTCCCCCACCCATGAGCTCTGTCGCGACACATAGTAGGGCTCAGTAACAACGGCCGCCATCACCGCCCACTCCGCCATCGACTGCAGGAACAAGTCCTGAGCCGCAGCGGAGCGCCTTAAATTCCCCTGAAGGAGGCTAGTAAGGCTGTCAGACATTTTATTTATTTGACAGCTCTACACCAACCTCCATGGGAGCGTTCCCCACCACCGTGCTGGACGCTACAGGGGCATACGGGGCCCCCCTCCGCCTTGGAGGGTTGCAAGCCCTACCCCCCATTTTGTGGTCTGCCGGCTTCCCAGCCGCTGAGCAGACCACACAATGCAGCTCTTTCGAGCTGCACTCATGGGCCTTGTGACCTACAACCCCACATCTAAAGCACGCCTCCGCCATGTCCACCGCCGAGGTACAGGTGACCCGCACGTGACCCAACTCCTGGCACTTATAGCACCTCAAAGGGCGATCCTCTCGGATTTCAACCCGACAGGAGCTCCACCCAATGAGGAGCTTTCCTTGGCACACTTTCTCGGCGGCGGCGACCGGACACAGGAGGAACATCTCCCCCAAAGCCCCGTATCCCACGCCTCAAAATTTTACCTGGCTTGATCGCTTCAGCCAGGCACCCACCCATGGCAGCCACCGCCTCCGTCACATCCCTCTCAGTGACGCTGTCGTCAAGGTCCCGAATAAGGAGGTCCGCACATTTGACGGGCCTCCGCACCAAGGCTTCCTCCGACAGCACCACACGAAGCCTATCCGCCAGGGCATCAGCCTTCTCCTCCCTGTCAACCCCCGGCACCTCCAGCATCCGAGCTCCCGTTGCCGTTAGCCGGATGCTGATACTTGCAATACCAATCTCAGCCAGGCTTATACCATTTCTGGCCTTGGTTAACACATCGGCATACGTCACCCCCCGCTCCACCGCCTCCCTCCGCAATGTGATGACCACTGCGGAAGTTTTCGGCAGAGTGAGCGAAGGCTGCACCCGGACAGACCGCCCAGCCGAGGGCCCTGCGCCGTGACCCACTCCATGGTCCTGAGCCCGGCCCACACGGCCACTTCCCCCACTCACAGGGGGAAGGACCGGCGCAGCGGGAGAACCACTCTTCTTTCCCTTTCCCTTCTTCTTTTTTTTGGTGACGGTCTCCCAGCTTCCGTCACCCCAGGAGCCCCAGAGCCCTGGGGCCCCAAAAGACCTGGGGCCTCCGGGACTCTGCTCCCCTCAAAAACTTCGGGGCCCTGGGTCCCCACCACATTCGGCGCCACCGTGCCCCGACCCCCCAATGAACCCTCACGGGTCGTTGAGCCCTGGGGTCCCGTAAAATTCGGGGCCCCCGGGCCCCCCCTCTCTACAAAACGCTCGGGGGCACCCCGTCCAAAAGCCCCTCCATCATTTGACGGAGGGCATCTGGAGTGGAGGGACCCTCCACCGACACGGAGTGTCCCTTTGACTGCGCAAAGTGCGCAGTGCGCTCATTAAAATCCCTCCTAAGGGCCGCAAGCTCCAGACCCAGGTCTTTTACCTGGGCCCTCAGGCGAACATTGTCCCTTTGGAGACGCCTATCCTCATCCCCCCTGAGGCACTGTCGGCGAGATCCTCCACCATCTCGCCTATATCTTTCGCCGCAACCTTTAGGTCGCGGACAAACTTACCTTTGAGGTTGCCTGACTTCACCGCAATCTCTATGATTTGGTGAACCCAGGCAGCCGACTTCTCCTTGATCTCAGGAACCCCCAAGAGAACCACTGCGTCCTCGTAATCCTCCCATGATGAGAGGGGCCCGTCCGGAGCCTTCACTGAGCTTGCTGAGGCCCCACCCTGTAAATGGCCCCCAGCACCACGCTTTTCCTCTCCAGGGAGAGTGCAGGCCTCAAGATCACGCAACTCACCCTGCGCCACCTCCAAACCCACCACATGAGAAGCCGCCTTTTTTGGTGGCTTACCCTTGGCAGGTGGAGAAGAACTTCCCTTCCCATCCCGCCCTGGGCTCTTAGCATGACCCCGCTTTCTAAAACAAGTGCCAATTGGCACATCGTCATCACTATCGGACGACGAAGGAAACCTCCCCATAATCCTCCTCATGAATGAAGATGCATGTATGAAATGAATGAATACAATGAAATAATATAATACACCACACACTTAAACTAAATTAAATTAAGATTAACTCTAACTTAAAATTAAAATTAGACTTAAAATTAAATATATAGTCTTAATCCACTTCGGTGTAAGCTTCGGATCTTCCACGTTCACTCACTGCGGTGTGAGAGACGTCCGCCAACACCGACGCGTCACAGCGCCTCACTTGACACCAAATTTACGACAAGATGGCGTCGTATATTGTAACATAAATGATGAATGATGCTAACATCAATATCTCAGCCCTCCCTTCTCCAAACCAGACTATCTTGATACCAATCAAACCGCCTTATTGAGACGAAGGCGATAGTTATCTCCTCTAGGTCACCAGACCACCCTCCGAAATAAGATGGTTTAAAAACCACCTCAAAACTAAAAGTAATTTTTTAGCCAACTCTGTGAGCCGATTTTAAAAATAAAAGTACTCACATAGTCACTGCAATCCAACACATAGAATAACCTCTAAAAACTTATATGTCGTCACGACAAAAACAACACAAACACACCGGGTCAATTTCCACTCACTTATGCCTTGTAGTTATTAATGTTTATAACTTACAAGGTTCACACACACATCAAAATGATCAGTATTAATTCCTGAATCTTATGAAACTATTCACAAAATTATGTGGGATTTTTATAGCCGCGGAGCGAACGAAAACGCAGTTGTCGCTAAGACAGCTCGACGCGTACTAAAAAGGAATGTTCAATTACTCAACCACTTTGTAATTGCCATCCTTACACAGGAGTCTCAATATAGTTGGGTGCCCACTGCACACTATAGAAACTCAACCGTGCCCACTATGTACGGTTTAAACACTCGCCCGGCACCGTACAGCCCTACCAAAGGCCGAGAATAAATATAAATTTACACTCGGACTGGGAATCGAACCCGGAACCTCACACCCACCACGGTCACATACAAAGCCGTTTGGCTATGAGGCCCTTAACCTAACCTAACCTAACCTAACCAGTCCGCGACCCGCGTCCAAACGCGAAGCGAGACAGTCAAAATCCACGTCGCTCCGCGCCGTAAAAAGTTTCAAAAAATCTTAAAAGTGGTATTTCGTGAGATATTAGTGCAGTGATACATATCAATAGATGCGCGCTATCGCGATCTATCTAATAGTGCTAAATTCAGTTTTCTAAGTTTACATTTTATTTCTTCAAAAAACATTAAAATTTTCCTAATTTAAAAATAGTGTTTTTATATTTAAATTCATAGTGCAGTTTAGTGTTGTAGAGCAAATGTTGCTCTACATTTCGACAAAAAATTTGAGGATAAGGACTCATATTTGACCATAATAAGGATCAAAAACCACAAAAAGGTGAATAACTTTTAAATTAGATCGACAACCTAATAATTTTATAGTTTTAAAAGATTGTCCCTATCAAGGGCTACCATTTGATATCCATATTATAATTTTTGGACCAAGCGCTGATTTATTGGAGACCAAAACAGGGGTTTCATCCCCCAGCCTGCAGCCCCTAGAAATAGGAACCTTATTTCACTATAATAAGAAACGCTAGACGTAAAGCTATCCAAAGACATATAGATTGCCAAAATCGGACGAGGAATATCCCCTCAAACACCAAGAAAACAGTTTTTGGGGGTGAACCACATCTAAACAAACAACCACCATCAACAACTTCGGACAGCTGAAACCAGCTTATCAGTGCGCAACCGCCGACACCAAGAACATACTGATCCGACATACATTGCACAGGATACGACCAAAAACAACTTCAGGACCAGGGTTTCCACAGGAACCACACCAACTAAAAATCTGATTCCACTTAAATTAAATAGCCATCAAATTACTTCACCACATCGTCTATTTTCAAGATAGAAAATTTTACCAACCACCCAACTAGACACCAGATTGTCTGGTGACCAGCTGGAACAGCTCCATCACCCAAACCACCCGCTAGTTCTCTCCGAGGGCAACCAGAAAACAACCATCACCTCTACCCTGCGTGCAACAGCTGCTGAGCAATCCTGCGCTTAAGCCCAAGGTAGGGTGGATTACCAGCCCCAAATTTATCGATTTTCAATTTTTTTTCAATATTCATCCAAAACCCGTCGAGCTTGGGCTTTTCTAAACCGGCTTGGCGAGTTCTATTTGATAGAGTACATCGTTCCTCTCAGAAACCCCCCTCCACCCCACAAAACAGGTTTTCCCCACCCATCGTCACAAAATCTTCCCCCATACCCCCACCCCCTCGAGTTGGGTATCAATCAACCCAGCTCGAAGAGGTGAACACACCTGACCTTATCTCAGCCCCCCCCACCCTCCATATAAATTTAAACTTAAACTCATATATTAAAACAACATTATTCTGATCAAAATTGTATAATTCACCAAACCAGAGTATATATTATAAGAAAAATATCTCCAGCTGTCCCCAACCCCTTGAGTTTGAACCTCTTCAAAAGATTCAGCTCGAGGAGGTGAATTCACCGAACCGAAAACTGCCCTCCCCATCTCATTTCCCCCCTTATTTTACAGTAAATTGGTAGAACTTAACTCAACTGCCAAATAACTACACAAAATGATAAGACGTACACCCCCTCAAACCCCCCGGGACCTAAGCCCCATTAAACCAACAACCAGCACTGATTCCTCCAATAAAACCCCTCCCACACCCTCAACAGCTCACCACGACAATAAAAAACCCCTCGGTCAATTTCTCGCCGAACTCTCCCCCGGACTACAAACCGGCACTGGACCCACATTGAAACCCTCACGTCTAGTCAATACCAACTTGACTCCTCACGCGGAGGGTAAGTTGTGGCTCCATAAAGCCAGAGAAGCGCTAAACTCCTCGAGAAACTTGAAGACTGAGATTACTATAGAAAAATCACTACAAAAACTCTATGACTTAGCAGTCTCTGCATCGTCTCTTCCCCCCTCCCAACAATCGGAACCACTTACGCCCCCTCCCGCCCCCTTTCCCCAACCCATACCTGACATAATGGCGTTTACAACCGCGGCCAACGATCTTAAGGATAAAATTGAAGCGCATACAAAACTATTAAATGAAAACAAAAACAACATTTCACAGATCTCAAATAAAATCACATCATTAAATAAACCACGCAATGACACACCCACCAACCCCCGCAACACCGTTCCTTCAATGCAACGATGGCAGCCACCACCTCCCCCTCTCCCAAATTAACACCTGGCCCCTCAATAATAGTTAGTGGCGGTCCTGACACCACACCGCAGACAATACTGGAACAAGTTAGGACCGGCATCAACTATCGCCAAGGAGGGTATGCACCCCTCAAAATTGCCCCCCTATCTAAAGGGAAGTTAAAAATTACTTTCCGCTCCGAAGAGAACAAAGACGACGCCCTTAGGCAATTAACTAAATCCTCCCCGCTAAAAGCGGATAACGAAAAACGTCTTGACCCTATGGTCATTATTAAAGGAATCAGTAAATCAACACCCGAAGAGGAAGTGATTGACACTATTCGGGACCAAAATCCCGAACTCACCAATGAAAAATTCTATATTAAATTCCGGCGTAATAACCGCAATGATAACCTCTTTAACATTGTCCTTTCAACCTCCCCCTCCGCTTGGCGTAAGTTCGTAGAAATGGGCCACGTAGCTATTTCCTACCAATATGTACATTGCTCAAACTTCTCACCTTTTCTTCAGTGCAGACGCTGCCTTAACTTTGGGCACACCAAAGACAGATGCCCCGCGTTCTCCCCCACCTGCGCTAAATGCGCCGGTCAACATGACACCACTGACTGTAAATCCTCTGAAAACAACTCTCACGTAAACAAGTGCGCTAACTGCAATGAGCACAACGCTCAATTTAAAACTAACACCAATGTCACCCACCGCGCCGACAGTGAAAACTGCCCCAAGGTAAAAGCAATGAGGGCCCGCATTGAGGCCAAGATTAATTATCACTAAAACATATTCATGCACACTTTAAAATTAGTGTGAAAAAGTGTGAGTTCTCACCCGACGGATTCGCTGCTGCTGCGTCTACCAGCAACCTCTCCGCCAGCCATCTTCAATAGTCAGTACTTTTAGTTAATTTTCATTTTTAATTTTGCATTATTTTAACGTCAATTGTCACGTGCCAATTTTATTTCATTTTTATTTTAAACAGAATTCATTTTAAATTCTATTTCATACATTTTAAACAGGCGATACAGTTTTCAATTTATATAGGGTCATTCAGTTTTAAATTTAAGTCATTTTAACCGCCAGCGACTCTTTTTTTTTTTTTTAAACTTAATTAAATTTAAATTCCCATCAAAACCCACTGCTAGCTACAGTAAAAAACTACACACACGTTCGTCCGGAGCCAAAAGGCTAAAATTCAATTAGAAACGCCGGAAATTTTTCATCTGAAATAAATAAATAATTGTTCATTTCACATAATTAAATTTGTTTGTCCGCTTAGAAAGGCCTTTCAGGTAAAATCGTGCGTTAAAGAGTTTAGTTTTTCTATATTTTAAACTCAACAACCTTAGAAACATCCTAAATTTTCATTGTAATAAATATAATAAATTCCTATCTTTTAAAGTCTTTGCGATAATAATCCCTCATAGTTAAAATATTAAACAATAATAAATACATCTATACTCAACAACTTTAGAAACATCCAAAATTTTCATTGTTATAAATATAATAAATTCCTATCTTTTAAAGTCTTTGCGATAATAATTCCTCATAGTTAAAATATTAAACAATAATAAATACAACTATACTCAACAACTTTAGAAACATCCAAAATTTTCATTGTTATAAATATAATAAATTCCTATCTTTTAAAGTCTTTGCGATAATAATCCCTCATAGTTAAAATATTAAACAATAATAAATACAACTATACTCAACAACTTTAGAAACATCCAAAATTTTCATTGTTATAAATATAATAAATTCCTATCTTTTAAAGTCTTTGCGATAATAATCCCTCATAGTTAAAATATTAAACAATAATAAATACATCTATAGCGTCGGTCCCCTTTGTTTTTGCACGTGCGCCAACCTTTTATTAGGGTCAGTTAATTACAGTCTTAACGTTGTTTTCAATAACAAAGCATTCGGCTATTTTCTTAAATAACACTCAATTTCACTTCACGGCTCTTAAATATCTTTAGTCTCAGTCAAGTTTAACCTAAAAAACTTAACTCAATATGTTATACTCAAACACCCAAAACCACCAAACAAACCTCCTCGCCCGCTGCGGTTAACGCGCAGTCGGAGGCGCTTCTCCCGGCGTTTGCCCGCTCTCCCTCCAAGTTGGTCATCAGCGACCACGCTAACCCTATTGATGAAGCCTGCGAATGGCTAAACAAAGCAAAAGAGGCGCTCGGGGCCTCAAGAAACATAAAAACCGAAATAAAAAACTGCATTACCGTGTCCTTAGAGAATGCAACAAAAATTATACAGACCAGGCTCACGTGTCTCGCACCCAGCCCAACACCAAGCATAACCGAGATATAACAATCACACAGCCATTGCAATCATCTCTGAGCCATATCTAGGTAACAACACACACTCACCACATATACCAGGCCTTTGCACATTCCAAACCAATCGGGGAGGAATTACGAAAGCCTGTATAGTTACACGATCAAACATCAATGCCATGCTACTCACACAACACTCTACCGACAACCTGGCCATCATCTCCATACCCACTCGTAGCTCCACACTATACGTGGCTTCTGTTTACATAGAGCCAGAAACAGACAACAATAACACACTCAACACATTAGAAAACTTCATCACTCAACATCCTCACGCGTCTATCGCAGTCTGCGGTGACTTTAACGCATGGCATTCACTCTGGGGTGGAGGTCGCTACCCGCGTAGCAATAGACGGGGCCATGATCTGGTCGACCTTATGAGTTCCGCGGACTTACACCTATGCAATGTAGGTAATACACCTACCTTTGAAACTATCACACACGGCCGCCCTCGCTCTTCCATTATCGATTTAAGTTTTAGCACCACCCCTCTCTTAAACAAAATAACACACTGGGAAGTCAGGCCTAACCTATTCCCATCCACTCAACACAACATAATCACATTCAAAATCAATCTGCAAAATCCGTCAACCGCGATACCCAACCAAAGCACGTTTTTATACCGCACTAAAAATGCAAACTGGCACAAATTCAAGGAAAATCTGCTTTCCAAAATTGCCAATAGTCAAATCCTGAACACAAACTTTCTCAACATTTCACCCACCGAACTTGACTCGATCGTGGAACGCACGACGCGTATTATTAATGACTCCTGTACAGAGTCATTTCCCATCAAAACCGGCAAACAAAAAAGTAAAGCCCCCTTCTGGAATGACCACCTAGAGCACCTCAAAACTAAATGTATACAATTACATCGGATTTTGCATCGCACATCACGATCAAACAACACACCCTCACCCGATCTAATCGAACAATATAGGGAAACAAAAGAGAATTATGCGTCCGAGATGTGCCGGGCCTCGACAGACAGCTTTCGGGCATTCTGCGAGGCTCAGGGCAAGGACGACGCATGGTCCATCACAAACAAACTTTTAAAAGAGAAAGCTCTCAACATACACCCGGGAACACTTAAGATCAACAACACATACACAAACACCGAACAGGAGACTGCCGAAGCGCTGCTTAACCACTTTTACCCCGGCGATGATCCCGACTCGAGCGAACACCGTGACATCAGGGGTGCTTCTAATGATCTCCCTAACACGGAGAACGAACCCCCATTCACCACCACCGAGATAATCGACGCCATCAGCTCGATTGGCAATAACAAAGCACCGGGTCATGACCACCTGACCAGTGACATATGCGCCGTGTTCGCTGGTCTGTTTCCGGATTTTATCACCAACTTATTTAACTGCTGCTTGACGATTTCATACTTTCCTTCCACATGGAAAGAGGCGGTAGTGAAAATCATTCCCAAACCCGGTAAAACAAAACTCGAAGAACTGAGTTCCTATCGACCTATCGGTCGTCCCGTCTTCGGTAAGACATTAGAAAAACTTTTCACTAAAAGACTTACATTCAATGCACATAGCTTAAAACTACTGAACCCAAATCAATTCGGCTTCACGGAGCAGACAAGCACCGTGCAAACCATACAGCAAGCCATCAGCACGGTCACTTCAGCCAAGTCCAAAGGTCAGCTAGCAATAGCGATTTCCCTTGATATCAAAGCAGCATTCGACAATGCGTGGTGGCCCGCAGTCTATGACGGGCTCCGCCGCATAGGATGTCCCCTTAACATTTTTAAAATCATACAAAGTTACCTACATGATAGGAAAGTCTCTTTGCGTCTCGGCAACACCACCGTCTCAAAACACACCGAGAAAGGATGCGTCCAAAGTTCAGCCTGCGGGCCTATCCTCTGGAACATAATTCTCAACAGCCTTCTCAACACACCTATTCCAGAAAGCTGCTCCCTTCAGGCATACGCAGACGACGTCCTGATTATAAGCACAGCTAAGGACGTCAATACACTCGAACACATCACAAACTCGGCATTGGAAACTATCCGACTTTGGGGACACAGCGTCAAGCTCCGCTTTGGTCCAGACAAAACACAGTGTATCGCGTTCACCAAACTTGCGACCCTCAGTCGAATAGTTTTCAATGGCGTTCCACTCAAATTTAACAACTCCATTAAATATTTGGGCTTAATCATAGACAGCAAACTTAATTTTAATGAACACGTTAATTACATCTTAGGGAGGGCAACAAAAATATTCTATAAAATCTCACTTTTGACCAGACCAACTTGGGGCCCCCACCCCGACAACATTAGGCTCATATACCAAAGGGTTATCGAACCTATTATTACTTACGCTTCGGGAATATGGGGCCATATCGCCACTAAGAAATATATACGAAAACGACTCAATAATACTCAAAGGCTCTTCGCCATAAAAATCATTAGGGGGTTTCGCACTATCTCAACCTGCGCGGCCACGGCTTTAGCCCAAATCACCCCGCTAGACCTCAGGGTCCTAGAGACCGCTGAGCTGGAACAAACCCGAATCAATAGAACTAGCGATAGGATTCCCTCTGACATCCCGATAGAAACACCTATATCGACCAAGGAGCTCCTTCACCCTGCGCATAGGATAGCAATCAGTACACGTGTTTCAGACACCAACACTAACAGTAACTTCACACA